AATGGGCTGATCACTGTTTTCAACTTGATAAAATAAAAGACATCATGTGCTTTCATTTATTCTATTTTTGCAACTAGAAAGAAATCCCACAAGCTTCAATACATCAATATGTAAGTTTTTCATTTCTGAGAAAGGAAACAGTTTATTTTCCCAATGTCTCTGTATTTAGCTGTATTTTACTGCCAATGAAATGAGCAAATAATAATAAATTATCATTATTGTGACACTAAAAACAGAATAAATGAAAAGTCAGGATTAAAAATATCAAATGATAGCGACACTATGTTTGGCTTCAATTTTTAGTTTTGTTTCGACATCTGCCTCTCTCGCTCCTCGTCCCCCTTCAAAATCACAGTGGAAAAATTAAGAGAAGGCCAGGTTAGGCCCATGAATGTTACGATCAAATGAAAAGAATGTTTCACTTGACAAAAAACTGCTGAGACAAAGCGCAGATTATGCAAGATTTCCGTATAACCCCATACATTAATAATATTATGCATACAGCTTTTGTTCAAAGAAAACAAAAGGCAGAACAATACTACACCTTTGCAACGGGCAGCTAAATTTATTGATAAGCTGAAGCCTTGCAAGTATTCTTTCACAAATCGGGAATTAAAGAAACAAATCTTTAGTAATTTTGGGAACACACAAACCAAATAGTACGAGTAACAGAAATACCTCTACGCGTTATAATATTCCCAGCGATTACCAGATATCACTATATTCGAATCTTTGCCTTCCAACGGTACAGTCACAGTTTTCCGAACAATCAGACCTGAATTCTGTCCACCTTTTAGGTCTCAAACACTGAAGAAAGCACTTCTAAGCCTTACCCTCTCAAAGGTTAACCATCTTTGTTTTGGAAGGAATAACAGATTTTTTTATTTAAAGTTCGTTTGGCCTTGTTTTGTTAAGTGTAGGTCGATGTGGGGAGGATGTATGTATTATTTACGAAAGAGAACGCTTAGCCAAACCCCGCCTTCTCTAATTTTCTATAAAAGAGACGCGTTGCTTTCTGAAGTTTAGTTTCCTATCAGAATGCGTGCGGTTCAAACCAAAGATGACAAGCACAGGCTATGCCTTATACCTTCAACAAGGAGCTGGAAAATATGAAGACAGCGAAGAAAGAGATTTCTCCCAAGAAAGCGAAGTCTCTAGCCAAGAAACGGAGTCTTCCCAAGAAGAAACAGAAAACTTAGCGCCTTGGTTACGCATTCTTGATGAAGCCGAGAAACGCCATGTGACCCAGCTCAACGCATTGATCAATGACTACGAGGGGAACGGAGATTCAGAAAATGTGGCCCGCGTGAAAGCCGAGAACGCTCTTCCTCCTGTTTACAGAAAAGAGCTAAGAAAAGTACTCTTAGAGAATCTACAGTGGATGCGTGCAATGAAAAAAGATCCCACCTTCAAAAAAGTGATTGAAACCCAAAAAGAACTAAAAGATACAGAAGGATTCGATTGGTTGGAATCGACAGAACTAGCGATCGATAAGCGAAAATTCCTACTCATATCGACTGTATCAAAAACAGCCCATTCCACAAGATGAAGACTAGTCCAACTATTAATGTTATAGAATTATTTTTCCTAGACCTTTGTATTGCTGCGTTTCAATAAAAACTGTAAACAACCAAACTTTAAGAGTGTTTTATTGCTGACTTGAAAATAATAACAATACTAGTAAACTGGTACAATAAATAAAAAAATCTGAAATTTGAAATACCAATTACTAATTCACGATCAAAACTTTTTTAATTAGGCACTGTTATTTGTGATTACCCTGAATAGAGATGATGATTCCAATGTTGAGAGCTGTTGCGTGACTAGCGGCGCGCGACACCCACGCGTGTGTTTGAGAAAATAAAGACAAATGACTAGAAATGGCCCGTTTGTCTCCTTTTGTCCCTTTTGGCCTGGTTTTGGCCTTTGAGGCCTGGTTATGGCCTTTCTGGCCTGTGTTTGGCCTTTCTCACACTCTGTATAACCTGACTATTTGCGAAAAAAGATGTCATTTGTGTTCAGCAATCGAACTGTCAACATGGTGTACAAGAGAGTTTGCAGAAACTGTCCTATTTCATCGTGTGGGGCGAAGTACCTTGTCAGATTAGCTAACCATCTCGCGGATGTTCATCAGTTAGACCAAATACAGCGAAGACAGTATTTACAAGAGGCGAAACTGCAACCTAAAGTCAAAGTCGTCGTTTACGAAAGTGAAGCGGATAATTCCGGAAAAAATCACTATCGCAATCCAGTGCAGACACAAGAAACGGTGTACTGCGAACTGTCAAGATTACAGAGAAATGAAGCCTCTTTTGAAGCAAAAGCTAAAAGACCGACTACAAAGAACAAGACAAAGCGCAAGAAACAAAGAAAGTCGAACTCTTGGCTTCGAGGCAATAGGAAAATTGTGTAGACACGAGTAGTAGGTAAAATGGTTATCCTGAAGCATTTTTTTCCGTTTATTTTCTGATTAAACCGTTTGAAATCCCTGTCATGACTTTTTGTGTCATTTTTAACCGAATTTTTCTATCATTTGAAATTCTCTGTTTATTTCTATCATTTAAAACCGTCATTTTTTCCAATCCCACCCATTTTTCATTTTTGTAACCGTTTATTTCCGGTTATTATTGTTTTCCAATTCCGTCATGACTTTTTTGCTGTCATTTTTTCAATATTTCTAGTCATTTACAGAGTCTCTGATTATTTTCTGAGAAAAACATCTCCTGTTATTTTTTATGGGTTTTTCTATCATTTATTTTTTCTAAAAAGAGGATCAAAAAAAAAGTTTTTTTAGCTCTTTTAGAAATTTGCGTTTGGATTTTTTAAAAATAAAAATGATTTAAAGAAAAATTTATTAATAAAAAAGCTTAATTATGCCTGTTAATTCAAGTATGTCATTAGATGAAATAAAAAAAATAGTAAACGAAAAAAAACGAGAAATTAAGAAAGATTACAAAGAATTAAAAGAGAAAGAAAAATTGATTGAAGAATATAAAAAATTAACACAAATCGGAAAAAAATAAAAAAAGGTATTAATGTTGTAAAAAAACCAAAACAAAAACCAATACCTATAAAAAAAACCAAAAATGGTTTTACTTCTAATTTAGGACCCACACCCAAAACACCCCCAAAACCTAAAAAAGAAAAGACGTTTCAAGATTATTTTGAGGAATATATAAGAAATAAAAAAATACCTGAAGATACACCACCTTATTTTCGTAAAGCACTTGAAAGAGCTATTTTAGAATATGAAAAAAATAAACAACCTTTGTTAACAAAATATGAAAAAAATACTAAGCAACCTTTATTATTAGAATATGAAAAAAATAAACAACCTTTGTTAACAAAATATGAAAAAATACTAAACAACCTTTATTATTAGAATATGAAAAAAAACCTGAAAAAACTGAAAAAGAACTTAAAAAAGATATAGTTATAAAAAAGGAAAAATCAGCTTTGTGGGATTTTGCTAATAAATTTATCATAAAAGGAATTCCTGGTAATACTCCAGATGAATATTTTATAGAAATAAAAAATAAATTAAAGATTTTTTTACATTTAATCGAAATATAAAATTTAATATGATTTTGGTTTGTATAATGGAACAGGAAAATTTTAAACAAGAAACTATAATAGAAAAAGAAGAAGGTAAGGCTTACTTTGTTACAGGTAATTTAATTAATATGAATTCAACAGACGTTGATGAATTAATTGAAAGATGTATAGATTCTATTAACGCTCATATAGAAAACTACATTAATACTGGAGGAAGTGCATGGCATTTTAAAGAAGTTGATAGACTTGAAATTCACACCGTTGAATATAACCCAACAAAGGGGTCTTCTAATATTCCTCTTCCAGATTGGATATCAAATAAAAAGGCTATTGTTAATATTCAAAACAAAGATGAAAAATGCTTTCTTTGGTGTGTACTTAGATATCTTCATCCCAAAGAAAAAGATGAACATAGACTTACAGGTTTAAAAGAGTATGTGAATTCACTTAATACAAAAGGAATTACTTTTCCAATGAAATTAAAAGACATTACTAAATTTGAAAAACTTAATCCAGAACTTCCAGGAATTCATGTTTTTTCAGTCAATGAAAACAATAAATTTTATCCTTTAAGAATGGCAGACAAAGATTGTATTAATACGATAGATTTGTTTTTGTATGAAGAAGATGGAGTTAGTCATTATTCAGTAATTATAAATTTTAATCGTTTGATAAAGTCGCAAAAAACTTCAAGCAAGAATGGAAAGATATTTATATGTAAGAAGTGTTTTACTCATTATACTAAAGAAGAATTATTAAAAAAACATATTTTATATTGCTCAAATAACGAGACAGTTTCTGTAAAAATGCCTTTATCAGGATCGATTTTACATTTCAAAAATCATCACAAACAAATTCCTATTCCTTTTGTAGCTTATGCTGATTTTGAATGCTTTACCAAACCAATGAATACTTGCTGTCCTAATCCAAAAGATTCTTATAATTATAACTACCAAAAACATGAACCATCAGGATTTTGTATTTTTATTAAAGGTGTGGTTGATAAAAAAATCAAACCAATTGTTTATTCGAAAACAGAAGAAGATGAAGATATAGCAAAAATATTTTTAGAAAAATTGACAGAAGCAACAAGAGGTATTTATAATGATTTTTATCGTAAACCAAAACCTCTTATACTATCCAAAGAAGAACAAAAATCATTTGACAAAGCGGAATTTTGTCATATTTGTAACAAAGAATTATTGGAAGACAAAGTTAGAGATCATTGTCATTTTACAGGTCAGTATAGAGGTGCTGCTCATAATAGTTGTAATCTTAATTGCAGGAAATCTTTGGTTCTTCCAGTTATATTTCATAATCTTCAAGGTTATGATGCCCATTTGTTTATAAAACAACTCGCAAGTTTACCAGGAGAATTAAATTGTATTCCTTCAACGGAGGAAAAATACATTTCCTTTTCTAAAAAGATTAAAGTTGATGAGTACATGTCTAAAAAAAATGGTCAAATGATGTCTTTGTATTTTGAAATTCGTTTTATAAATTCGTTTAAGTTTCTTCAAACATCACTTGCTAATCTTGTTTCAAATTTACAACCGGATGATTTTCATAATACAAAACGAGAATTTAAGAAAAATGTAGATTTACTTACTAGGAAGGGAGTTTATCCTTATGATTATGTTTCATCGCTTGACAAACTGTCCGAAACACAATTACCACCAAAAGAAGAATTTTATTCGAAACTAAACGATGAGGAAATAACCGATGATGATTACCAACACGCAAATAATGTTTTGGATAGTTTTAATTGTGAAACATTAAGAGATTATCACAATATTTACCTTAAGTCTGACGTTCTACTTTTATCAGATGTATTTGAAAACTTTAGAAAAACTTGTCTTAAACATTACAAGTTAGATCCCGCTCATTATTACACATCTCCAGGTTTAGCTTGGGATGCTTGTCTTAAAGAAACAGGGCAGGAATTACAGTTACTACATGATTATGATATGTTAATGATGATTGAAAAAGGTATTCGTGGTGGTATAACTCATATATCAAAAAGATATGCGGAAGCTAATAACAAATATATGAAAGATTACAATCCTGATGAGGAGTCCTCCTTTATTCAATATCTAGATGCGAATAATCTTTATGGTTGGGCAATGTCTCAATCGCTTCCAACACATGGATTTAGTTGGATGAAAAAAATAACAAAAGAAAAAGTGATGGAAATTTTAGAGAAAGCAAATTATAGTATGTCAAATCGTGGAAGAAAAGGATATATATTTGAAGTTGATTTGGAATATCCTTCAACACTGTGGGAGGATCATAATGACTATCCTCTTGCACCTGAAAAGATGATTGTTAATGGTGTTGAAAAACTAATTTGTCATTTTAAGCCGAGAAAAAACTATGTTGTTCATTATCGAAATCTTAGACAATATCTTGAGATGGGAATGAGAATAACTGCGGTTCATAGAGGAATATCTTTTTACCAATCTCCTTGGATGGAACCTTATATACGAAAGAACACTGAACTTCGAAAAACAGCAGCTAACAGTTTTGAGAAAGACTTTTTCAAACTTATGAATAACTCAGTGTTTGGAAAAACAATAGAAAACATAAGAAAAAGACAAAATATTGAACTCGTTGATAATCGAAAGAGAGCTGCTAAACTAACAAGTCGTCCAAACTTTGATAGGGCTACGATATTTGATAAAAATCTTATAGCAGTTCATATGAAAAAAAACCGAAATTTATTTTGACAAACCAGTATATGTTGGTCAAGCAATTTTAGATTTGTCAAAAACATTGATGTTTGATTTTCATTATAATTACATAAGAAATAAATACAATCATAAAACTGAGTTATTGTTTACAGATACAGACTCTTTGATGTATCAAATTTACACAGATGATTCTTATAAGGATATATCCCATGACATAAAAACCAAGTTTGACACTTCTGATTACCCCCCCAATCATCCACCTGGAATATTGACAGGGGTTAACAAAAAAGTATTTGGGATGTTTAAAGATGAAGTAGCAGGAAAACAAATAACTTGTTTTGTTGGATTACGACCAAAACTTTATAGTTTTAGAATAGAAGGGGATAAAGAGGTTCGAAAATGTAAAGGAATAAAGAAAAATGTTGTGAAAAAGACATTAGATTTTGATGACTATGTTCAGTGTTTAATTTTGGGTAAAAAAGAAATGAGAAAGATGAATATAATAAGAAGTGAAAATCATGATATTTATTCAAAAGAAGTTAACAAAGTAGCTCTTAGTAATGAAGATGACAAACGTGAAGTACTATTGGGAAAAGTAAAAACCATAGCTTTAAGATAAGTGAATTTAATAAAAATGAAAAATAATAAATGTTTTTCTCAGAAGAAGAAATAAAGAAATACCAAGAAATATTAAATAATTATACAAGTAAACCAAAAGAGGAATCAAATTTGAAAGCTAAATGTTGTGCTTGTGAAAACAGTACATCTTTTACCATTGATTACGGTTATAAAATTTGTGATGAATGTGGAGTAGCAAACGGTCATGTATTAGGCTTTTACGATAATAAAGATCATGAAAGATTATTTTATCGAAAAAAGAGTGTATATCAGCGTAAGTATCACTATGAGAAAAAGGTGAATCAAATTTCAAAGAGAATAAATTTAACCAATGAACAAAAAAACGAACTTTATGGTAAGTTAATGGAAATAGACAATCACATCATGGAAGTACTAAACAAAGAATACAACAGAAAGAGAATGATAAGTATCTCATTTTTAATCAAAAAACTTTTGGAGGAGATGGGGGGTGAATCGAGCAAAGCGAGCAAACTAGTTTATCTTAAGATTTCACCACAAACTTTAGATAATTATGAAAATTGGTGGGATAGTTATAAATCACTCAAAACCGGCTAGATTTCAATATTAATTTAATATTGAAATCATTGCTACTTATTTACTTAGCCCAAACTTTTTGCTATACCTACTAGAAAATCTATCTGCTATAGGTGTTTGGTCGATTATCATTTCATCTATCAACTTCATGCGGTCAACAAACTCTTGTTTATTAAACTCATCTCCTCGAAGAGCTGCTCGTAGTTCAACTAGTACTTTTTCGTAAGTAGTAAATGCAATCCTTGACATTTCAATTTTTCTCTTGTAATTATTTTTCTTTCCTATTCCAGCTACAATAACTCCAACACCATTTACTACTCCGAGAACAACAGGGTTTAGGGTTATTCCACCAGAAATAGTTCCTATTGCAACCAAACATATTCCAGAGATTGTAAAAATATCGTCAAGAAATTTATAACTCTTATACGATTTCTTAAAACACCAGTATTTCTTGTGGTAGTGTTTATAAAAGTCTTTGAGGGTTTTAACATCTGTTTCTGACAGAGATTTATCAATGTGATTAAATTCAAAGATATCCTTCATTTTATTCTTTTGTGTATATTAATGCGGTGTAGCTAAGGGAGGGGGTTCTCCTATAATATATAAGAACCGTTTAACTTTTCTTGAAGCATTACTTTGTGATATTGCTCAGAGTCGTCGTCGTAAAAGTTTGGAGAGTACAATATTTTACTTAACACTCCACCTTCAGTTCTAAACGAAAAATATTGTTCCCGGGTGTAACGAACGATTGGTAAACTTAATATTGTGCTGTAGTTACTTATTTTAGCTTTTGTAATATTTTGGCTAAAATCTTCCACCAACCATATAACAATTTTTTTCCCATTAAAATCCTTTGGTAAGGTAAATTCTCTTTTTACTTTATTAATAGTTAAACTGTCTTTATTATCTATTCTACTATAAGCTAATCTTAATAAAAGAGTTAGTCTATTTGAATCTGATTTAGTTAAAAGAAATGTTCTATTTCTCCAAAGATAAAAAACAATACATAAAGTATATTTTGTTATACCATCAGGAGGAGAAAAATTTATATTATAATTTTTAACATCTAAGCCTTCTTTTCTTATATCATCTATGGTTTTATCAGGTATACCTACATCTCTAAAAGTATTACCACTACTAGAAGATAAATAATTAAAAACAATACCAGATGAGGTTCTACTTAATTTGTAATTAGTGGCATTAGTAAAATAATAAACTTCTTCGAAATAATTTCTGTATAAATCATTTATAGTGTGAGGTTTTATTTCCTTTACCATTCCAACTGTTGCAACACTATTGTTACTGTTTCTATCAAGATTGACGTTCAACATTGTACACCACTTCTGTTGGTTTGATATCAAATGCTGTGTGATAGTCATAAACTTTATCTGGATCGATATTGCTAAATGTTCCCACAATTCCATAAGTAATTATATAAACTCCTAGAAACTGTCTAGGATAAATAGCCAAGTCAGTTCCATCTTGTGGTATATTAACCAAAATGTGAAAAAAAAACTTATTTCCCGATGTCAACTTCTTAAAATTAACTATTATTCTATGGCAATACACAAATTGTGTTTGTCCCTTTGAATCGCTGTACCTATGTGAGAGCTTCCTTACACTAACATTTCCAATTGATAATCCTGTTGAAGTTCCTTTGTCTACACTTATTTGAGACTTATGCCATAGTTGATAATCAGTGTTAAGCATTTCAAGACAAAGGGTATAGTCAACATTTGCAGTTAATCTGTAAAAGTTGATTCCCATTTTATACTTATATCCACCTTTAGAACTTTTGTTTATTCCCATAAAAATAACTTTGTGATTATAATCATGAAAGTTTCCTTTGTTTGGTGCTAAATCTCCTATGCTTTTTATAACAAAACTGGTTCCAGTATCTATTTCATCAGTCCATTGAGACCCACTTGACATGAGATAAGCAAACTGGTCGTTGTAATGACTTGGTTGAACCGCAGTGTGATGAACTAGTTTGTCAGCATAATCTTTAGTTACTGCATCATTGTCTTGGGTTGGCTTACTAAGATTTATTATTTTTATATTACCAACATTAAAGTTTCCAGTCATAGTGACGGAACCATCTTTTTCCAAATAATCACTTAGATCTGGGACAGTTGTGTTATCATCAACATACTTTTTGTTTGCAGCGTCAGAGTCATTAGAAGGAGTTGCGAGATTTTTTATAATTCTATTGTTCATATTTAAATTTCCCATCATTGGTATATTTCCATTAATTCTAAGAAAATTAGAATTTGAATAAATTAATGTTGTTGGTTGATTATTACCATTTGGAGCTGGAAGATTATATATTCGATTGTTGTTCATATCTATACTCCCACGCATTCTTCTTGATCCATCTAGTTTTAAAAATACACTACCATCAACTTTATTGTCATCCACATACTTTTTATTTGCAGCGTCTTCGTTATCTGTTGGTGTAGCAAGGTTAATTATGCGATTGTTATTCAAGCTTAGATTACCAATCATTGTTCGTGAACCATCTCTGTCAAGAAATTTACTGTCTGAGTATTGTTTTGTGGCTGGCTCATCTGAGTCAACTGGATGTTTGAGGTTTAATATACGAAATTGGTCCTTCATATCAATATTTGAATCAACTGTTAATTGTGATGTTGAGTGTGGACCACTAGAATTATCATCTACGTATTTCTTTGTAGCAGCATCTTCATTATCACTTGGTGCTCCTACATTTCTGAGTCTTTTTTTATTAATATCATAATTTCCATCTGTGGTTAGACTAAAACCAACTCCTGGAGCACCCTGAATTCCTTTAGCAAAAGTATGATCAAAAGATTGTTCGTTAAATATCCCCATTTTTTTATTATTAGGATAGATTACTAGTATAGGTCACAACCTGCTATATTCTTATTAAGGGAGGGGTAATAGGGGAACCATAGGTTCACCTATCTAGATTACTAGTAAAGTTTTTTGCAATACGTTTTTTTGGTTTATCAATGTATAAAAATGAAAAGGGTTTTTTTGTTGCAGCCCTATATATCTCTTTATCAACTCCCAACTCAGATGATATTCTGTTTGCTTCCCTCGATGATGGAAATTCATACAGACAATAGTAAGAACAATTTAGCCGTATATCCTTTGGAGTTTTGTAAAAAGACTGACTGAGGTAGATTACAGAGCAATTCTTATGATGTCCTTGAATAAAATAATCAATAAGTCGCCTCTGGTTTTTATCACAGACGTAATCATCGAATATCACAAGTTTTTGATTGTCTTCGTAATCCATTTCTGTCACTGGAGTTATTTCATTGTTACTCACATGAAGTATTTCATATCCAAGTTTACTACTTAACTCCCTCATTTTTTGAATTAACTTTTGATACTTATCCTGTTCTAGATTACGCGCGTAAAGATAAATCTCATCATAGTACAACAGTGGTTTGATTAACATATGGTACAACAGATTAGTCTTACCACTTCCACTGTTTCCACAAATTAACATTCGAAACGTATCCGCCGGCATAAAAGGAAATAACTGTTTATATTTTTTATCAATGTCATCGGTACTATCATAGTTTGGAATTTCCATTTATCTAATATGTACATTAAATAAAAATGGATATAGAAGAAGCCAAAAATTTTGCAAGAAATAAAATTGAAGCCGACTCTTTGATTCGACAGGTGAGAGATGTTATAAAAACAACAAAATGGCAAAAACAAGATGTGAGAGAGGGATTTAAAGAGACATTCAAACCACTTATTAAATCTCAAGATAGTATTAAAAAAAGTATCGATGAGCAGCAAAACGCAACTATAGCACAACTTAAAGCTAATCAACTTGCTCTTACACAAGGACTTAATCAAAACAG